ATATATATATATATATATATATATATATATATATATAAGCTGTCAAAATGGGTAACCCGATCTGGCCCACCATGAGTTGGTTAATAGGTGGACTAATCCAATTTGATTCACCTTTAGGTGAGCTTAAAAAAGGCCAACTCGACTTGGCCTACCACAAGTTAGTGGGTTAAACGGGTTGACTTAAATTAAAAAAATATATATAAAAAAAATTATTGAACTTTATAAAAATATATTTTATAATTCTATATATTTTAGAATAACAACTATATTAACAAATAGAACAAATAATTTTATTTTAAAAAAAAATAGACATCATCTACAATCAACTTAATCAACATATAAAATCAAAGTTTTTGTATAAAATATTGACAAATAATATTAAATTGATATTAATTATCATAATTCACAAGTAATATGTACAAAATTTAGTTAATGGTATAAATGTATAATCATATAAAGTAACATTTGAGAACTTAAAAAATAAAATAAAAAAAAGTATACTATGTGAGCCAACTTGTGAGTCAAGTCGGCTCACAACAGGTTGGCTTGTGGTGAGTCAAGTTGCAAGTGAGTCGGACTGAATATTTATTATAACTTGAACAAACCAAAATTTTCTAACCTAACTCGACTCAAATCCGTGACAAGTCAGGTTGGCTCATGGGTTTTGGCTAGCTTTGACAATTCTACACACACATGCTCCATTTGTTGTCTATTATAAGAAAAACCAATATACATTTGTTGTTCTTAAATATAAACAAATTTAACTACTTTTCTCTAAAATATTTCTCCTTTGATGCATAACATTTTAATTGCACTACTTCTTTTGACATTTATAGTAAAGACAATTTAAATAGAATCTTATAAGAATAGTAAAATTTAATACAAATAACTAACTTTATTAATATGCGTAAAGGAAGTTGTTTCATTTGATTTGTTATATTCAATGTTCTTTCAAATGATAATCTAACTTGATAATGAGGAATAAATTTAGTAGTGAGTCAGATTGTATGCTTTGTCTGATGTCCTTCGTCTTACAAATGAAATAGGATGTTTGATTCATCTAAAATAGTCTCTTAAAAAATATTTTTTTTATTATCATTAAAACTTATAGACTCTTGAGGGATCCAAAATCATCTTTTAATTTTACGGTAACCTTAACTCTAGATCCATGTAACAAGTAAAGGTTGGTTACAAGATTCTCTTACGGTACATGTTCAATTTTATTCTCATGTCATATGCCACATGGCACACCTTTTAGCTATAAAAGTTAAGCTTTTCAGGCATAAAAAATGAACACATGCTCACATGTGATCTTCAACAGGTCCCAAACACTTGAATCAGAGGTAATCATTAGTTGAACATAGATAACCACAACGTATTATTGATATAACTACGTTATTCATTTGAAAAATAAAAAATCTTAAATCACATAATTGTTTATATTAAAAAAAGAGTATATCATGTGTGTGTTACAGTTATCAAAGTATTTAGAATGATTGTTTGTGTGACACCCTCTACCCCAACATTAATACACAATAAATTTAAACAATTTCTTTCTTCTTTTTTTTTTCTCTTTGGAGTAAATAAAACCTTTCATAGTTTGATACCATCTTTCATGATAAAACAAATATCTCAAATATTGTAAGGTAGAAGATTCATATTCAAAACTCATAAATCATAGAAAATCATCTTGTAAGTATCAAAATTCAAGAGATCATATAAAAGGAAAATATAGATTAATTCCAGCAAAGGTGGCAGTGCCTCCTAGTTAGGAACTAATCTATAACTTTCAAATCATATAATAAAATAATATGACAAAGATGCATATTTTGATCTTTTATCAAGGACGTTCAGAATTTATC